ACAAATAATCACTTTACTTAAGAAACTTAGATTTATTAAACGATAAAAATATTCAAATGTAAGAATTTAGTAAATAAAAAAATGCTAGCACACGTATGCTATTTGGCTCATTATGCCCAAAATTCACTTTTATTTAAAAAATAGTATCAAGTAACATACTGTAGTATGAATGTGTTTATAAATAATTCTTTGTAAAACTAAATATTATTAATACTATAAATTGAATTAAACATTATTTTTAATGCAAAATTATAATCAAGATTAATTAAATAATTTTAGTTTCAGAAAAATACCCTTAAAAATAATTAATCAAAAAACAAACACCAAAATGCCTTAACCGGTAGTTTATCCCCAGAAGTCAATGAGCGTAATCTGTGGCATATCGTGGATAGCTTTCATATCCTCCTCCCGGAGCTCGAAGTCAAACACATTGAAGTTCTCGACAATCCTCTGAAGTTTAGTACTCTTAGGTATGACTATCAGTCCCCTCTGGATCTGCCACCGGATCATCACCTGAGCCGCACTCTTATTATACCTCTCGCCTATACCCACAAGTGTCGGGTCCTTCACCAGCGACCCGGTGCCCAGTGGAGACCAACCGCCCACAGCTATCCCATTGCCCAGACACCAGTCCACTGTCTCGTCCTGATTAAGGCCCGGATGTATACGTATGTGATTTATTGACGGCTTAATCCTCGTCGTAGTCATGAGCTCCTGAATCTCACTCGGCTTGAAGTTGGACACACCTATCGCACGGGCCATACCCTCATCGTAGGCCCACTCCAGGGCTCGATAGATATCCGTATTATTCTTGAGCGGCCAATGAATGGACACGAAATCCAAATAAGTTGTGTTCAACTCTTTTAAGGCGTTTTTGATGACATTCTGAGTCCTCTTAAAGTTGGAGTTCTTGGGCCACACCTTATACACCAGGAATATGTCCTCCCGAGTGACCAGCCCTTCCGCGTAGGCCTCCCCTAATGCCTGAGCGATCTCACGCTCGTTGTGGAAGAACCAGGAGGTGTCGATGTGTCGGAAACCCTGGCGTAGGCCGTCCTTAATGGCGTCGATGAGCTTTTGGCCCTCGGACTGCCACGTGCCGAACCCCAACACCGGGATCTCGTAACCGTTGTTTAGACGGATTTTAGGTACGCCCGGTGTCTCTGTAAATATGGTGCGGTTTCACAGAATATTCTTAATGTTTTTGAGAATATAATGTTTATTTGAATACTTTTATGGACTTACGGATGGCTTCGGGTTTTAATATACAACTATTATTGGGAAGGACTGGTTGTATAGATTATGGCAAGGGATGCAAAAACAAATATATTAATTATTGTAATTAATGACTAAAATTATCAAGAACATTATTACATTTAAAATGATTTTTTGTGATACTAATTATAAGTAAGTACAGTAGTAGTTATGAGAAATATTTCACAATAAGTAAATAATTATAAGTAATATAAAAATTATTGTTCAATATTTGGACAGTTAATGTAAATACAATGGTAAAGTAATGGATACATACCGGTGCTGTAAGTGATACATATTGAAATAAGAGATAGCAATACAAATCTCAATGTATTCATTGTGTCCGACGTTTGGCACAAATATTATTATTAGTCAATAAAGTGGTGAAGAATCGATGTTTTGTTAACCAATACTTTCGGCAAATATTTCTCATATTTATCGATGTGTTATCAATTGCATATATACAAAAGTATCGTTTGTTTTGCACAAAATCACAGAGCAAAAATTAATCAATACACTCCAATTCCAGTTCCTCAAACGTTAGTTAATTAATTAATAAGTTCCTTAATTCTAACATTGCTTATATAATAGAAACCCCATGTTATTCAGCATGGATTTACCCAATCGTGTATTCATGAGCATTTGAAAATCAATTTAAAAACTGCATTTAAAATGCATATTTAATTTAAACGTTCATACTAACTATTGTAAAATAAAAAGTGTGTTTTATACTTTAAATTATTTTAACAAAGTTTGACAACACTTATTACACGATTTCATTTCAAGGATGTTTACTTTAGTTTTAAAAAATATATCCATGAATATAATTATCGGTCCAATTATATAATCAAATATAATTTAAAATTTAATGATCTCATGACTAGTGGGAAGGTATTGCACACATGAATCCATTAATAAATAGAAAAATTAAATAGTTTTATATCCAAATCGCTTTTATTTAGAAACTTAGTAAAATCAAATTTTGGATCCAAACCATTTTTATTAATTATATAGCTCTTAAATAAATTAATTTTGAGTTATGTCAAATCATCTGACATGATTTCTAAGAAAGCCATCTATTATATAATTAAGATATACAGTAAATATTAGTGTAAGAATGGTGATAACATATAATACAAAATTAGAATACTTATCACAAAAATCATGGCGAACCACATAATACCTTTGCTCTGTTAGACTTAGTTCAGTAATAATGGAATTTGGATTCATTTGTTTAACATGTTTAAGCAACTGTAAATCGAAATTATATATATCCTTAATAGTAATAACTTTCCTTAAGAGATATTTATTAATCATTTGGTGAGATTTGTTTGGATCCAACAGAGGTTTAGGTATATGACATTTCGAGATTACATTGTAAGTTATTCGTATGTCATTTGCAAACTTATTCTTATATGCATTCAAAATACACAAAACCGTCTCTCTCTTACTAAAGTCCATATATTCTAAACGATTTACAAATTCTTTAATTTTATTGATATTTATTCCCAACTTTGTCAATTTGTTATACCTAAATGATATTTTATTATAAATTAAAATTTCTGGCTCTTAATTTAAAAATATAACTTACTTTTTAAAAATTGATTCAAATACATTATTTATCATAAAGTCGATTGGATAACAAAGCATTCTGAAATTCTGGTTAATATTAGTTAATGTCTTAATGTAGCATACGTTCACTGCAATTGGTATATCGTTTTCATTGTTACTGGTAATAAATATATTAATGGGCATAAGTTTCCAATCAATATTGTCTATGTCCACCGATTCATGTAAACACAGAACACAATCCAATATTTCTCTTAATAATTCAAATGATAAATATAAATCAATACAATTCATTACAATTGAGTTCTTTTTTATGAAGAAATGGTGTTTATCCCAAATAAAATCTACAAGTGTTTGTGAACACAATTCTGTTTGAATAAATACATTATTATCTTCTATCCATGAATTGTAACATTTGACCACATATTCTGATTCTAAATTAAATGTCTTTCTGATGTCAATCAACATTTCATTCGTTTTTGACATATTTTCTATAATTTGAAATTTCAATGAAAAATAATTTTTAATAGAGAACATCCTTACTTCGTATTTTTATTTTAAATAACGAATAATGTAGTTTAGACTTCTTATGTTTCACGATATCATACTTGCCGATAAATCCCACTTTTATCGACTTGATGACTTTAAACATCGAATTCTTAATGAAAGTTATATTTTTTCCTAAAATATTGATTATTTTAATATACAGATTAATTTTAAAATTAATTCAATTATATTACCATTATTTGTGTTCTCATTATTCATTCGGATAATACAATTAGGTTTGCTTTTAATGAATATATTGTAAAGAATATCAAATTTTCGTCCAATTACATCATCAATTAAGTTCAACTCATTTTCGGTAAATGTAGATTTAATCATAAATGTCTTCAATTGTGATAAAATGTGCGAACATTCGGGTCTTTGCCTCCA